TTTTTTTTTGGTACCAGGGATTGAACTCAGGTCCTTGTGCTTGTGAGGCAGTCGCCAGAACCACTGAGCTAAATCCCTGGCCCTTTTTCTGGTGCTTTTGAAATCATAGGGCAGAGAAGAATTTCAGGATGTTTATTGATATGCTCTTTCTATACTTGGTGCTATAACTATTTCAGACAGTAAGTTGGCCTGAATTCAGAAAATTCCAAGAGAAGATCTCTATCTTGATATAAGAAATCCTTCATTAAGGAGTTCTTTAACTTAGAATTATTCTTGCTCCAGTTTAACTTATTTTCTTATCCAGTGAAGAAGGTGATATGCAGGATAGCAGCCTCTCTGAAATATCCTTAAATTATATTCATGCCATCTGTTCACTTTTTCCACGAGGTACCTAAAATTGTGACCAAGTGACCATTATGTGAATGAATACAAAATGCATAAGAAATTTATATCATTTATATAAAGATCCTAGCTGTTGGACCATACATTTAGTAGATGCTTGCAGAAAGTAGGCCATTGATTAAACTTTTTTTTAAAAGCATCTCAGCAAAGAAAAATTGTGAATAGGTACTCAGTGCGGATTACATAGATTTCAGCATTAATCTATATATCTCATTTTATTCCAGTGTTAGGCTCATTTTAAATAGAGCCATCGGAGACCACTATTCTCTTGTAATGTAACCATGCACTGTCTTTATCCCAAAATGTGTGTATAATTGGAAATTTCTTAGACAGTGGCTCTACAGCTGCTTTGGGATTCCCTTCAGTATGCTGATGAAAGACTATAAATCTTTCCAGCAAAATTACTTATTAATTCACATACATTTATATATATAATTTCATATGTGAAAGTACATAATCTTGTTTTTCCAAATAAAAATTTAAATTTTAGCCAATGTGGCTTCTCTGTAAATAAATTTCTTTATTTTCTCAACAAATTTATTTTTTGTACTCTCTTGTTGAGCCAGGCCTATATAAACTATTGAACAAGACAAATAAGAACTATCCCGTTAGGGAGCAGTAAGCAAATATCACATTCTGAAATTTTCTAACATTATCCAAATTTTAAGGACTACGAAAGAAAAAACAAGTTAATGAAAGAAAGTACTGGTTGACTATCCCTTATCCAAAATGCTTGTGACTCGAAGTGTTTTAGATTTTGGAGGTCTTGGGATATTTGCATAGACTTTACTGTAGAGCATCTGAAATTGAAAATTTGAAATGCTTCCCAATCCAGAACTTTTTCATCACTGACATTATGCTCAAAACGTTTCCGATTTTGGAGCACTCCTGATTTCAGATTTTCAGATTACGGATGCGCAACTTGTATTTGGGAAAGCTGTTCTCTATTGAATAGATTAATACTAATAGTAAATTGCATCCCCAGAGGTAAGAAATAAAGCACAGTTCTGCAGATATTCTGAGTTTAAAATCAGAAAATATTAGAGTTGTGGGAAATTACATAGTTCCCCCTCCCTTCTTCCACAAGTAGATCTCTAAGACTTAAGAGGCTGGGATCTGTATGCAGAGGCAGGATAGTTCTCTAGACCTGGTTGGCGTTCTGAATTTGGTCTGTGTCAGTTTTGGGGAACTTTAACCTAACTGAGGCACAGTGATATGAAGGCAGACACATTTTCTTTCTGTTCTTTTGTTTGGTTCCCTTGTCCCTTCAAATGAGAAGCTATTCACATTAACTCTTTCTTAAGATTTAAATTAATGGATAGCCATTATCTAAAGTATTTCTCTTCGGGAAATATCTCAGTTACTCACTAGAACATGCAGAAATACATTTGATTTGGTGCTACTGGAAATGATAATAATTTTTGCTTGCTAAAATGAGCAAACAATAGTTGCAACAATTTTGAATTTATTATAGCTTAGCTTTTCAGTAGCAATTTACTTAATAGTTTACTAAGCCTGTGAGAAGATATAGTCTATAATTACATTGTGAGATTTAGATTGATGTTCTTTCCCTTAATATACTTTATTATTAGTAATATACTTTATTTCCCGTATACTTTATTTAGCCAGTTTTATTCTTAGTATTTGAGTGTTCCTGTGTCTTGGTCACTAGATACAAACAGCCATGATTCCTGCTCTCATGGGGTCTGTAGTCTGATAAGGAAGGTAGACAATAAAATAATCATTGTAGAACTACATACTTGTAACCTGAAATAAGGGCTGTGAAGAAAAGGGAGATATTTCCATAATGTGTGTAATTAAGGACTCTAGACTGGTGGGGCTCCACTGCCTCCCAGTGGACCTGATGTTTGAGCAAAGAACAGATGAGTGGAGGGTAGTGGAAGCAGCACAGGAGAAGATCAAGAATGGGCAGTGCGTTGGCAATGAAGTTGGCGAAAAGCGAAGAGAGCTATGACTTGGTGATAGCATTGGATATGGGTGGTGAGGCAGAGCAAGATTCCCAGGATTTCTGGCTTGTGCGATCAAGTGGATTGTGGTACTGAGAAAGGAGAGCACAAGTTGAGGTTGTTGGTCTGGGAAACAGCAACAGCAAGCAGTCAAATAGGCTTTGTAGCCAAATGGTTATAAGGGTTTGGAAATTACTGGAGAATTTTGAGCCAGTGATTAAAATACATTGAAAATTACTCTTTCCTGTGATTTATACAAGCAGATTATTAATAGAAATGTGGAGCTCTCTGCGATCCCTTGAGATTCTCTTTCAGCGAGTTCATTAAAAAATACTGAATTACTTTCCTTGCTAAGGTAAAAGCTAATCCTTAGTAAAGATCAGTTTACCTATATGCCAGGGATTTTCTGGCAAGTGTGCCAGTTTTGATATATTAAATTGCTGTTTGGGGGAGGTGTTCCACTGAACTTGAAACATGCTAATAATATGTCTAAAATAATAGACTTTTAAAATTTTTTCCTTTGCCTAGGTTTGATGTGGAGTATGTTCTCTCAGCACCAACATCTGAATGGAATGGCAAGCAGGGACAGATTTCATCAGCTCTTCTTTCTGAATTTCTGAAACGAAGTTTTGAAAAATCCAAAGTCTTCCTCTGCATTTGTGGACCAACTCCATTTATAGAACAAGGAATGACGTGAGTAGCACTGTGATGGGAAACAATGCACTGCATCCTGAAATGACGATCTTCCATAAAAGTGGTTCACTTATATATTGAGTCTTCCTAATCATATGAACTTACACTTTAATAATCTGTTAAAAAAGTTTTAAATCTTTATACAGGTAAAGGGTTGGAGGCCAGGATTGTGCATAGTGTTAAGGTAGGAACTCAGTAGCAACATACAGCTAGCAGTCAGTGTTCTCTGCCAATGACTGGCAGTATGGACGTTTGTAAGATTGGTACCACAATCTTATTTGGGACATTAAAGCTGAACCTCTTCCACCAGAGCTTGATAATATAAGTAGTAATTAATAAGCAATGTTAGTCTCATCATAGTTTTCAATCTTCATTTTTTGCAACTGGGTAAAAATTAGTAATAAAAACAGAGATTCAAAACCAGGCAGCAAGACATAAAGGAGGAACTACAAAGTAAGTAAGGCAAGACTAATAGTTGAGCCCTGGACAATGAAAAATTCAATATTAGTGATTACTGTACTTGAAATTTACCTTGATATGATTTAACTCTAAAATGACACTTTAAAATATTTGAATACAGCTATTATTGAGTTACTAGATGTTTTTAAAATATTATTGTCTTAAGTTTCCTATTTTTCTTGTTAATATGAAACTTAATCCGATATTTCCTAGATTTAGCTTGCTGTTTTATTATGTATGTATGTATGTATGTATGTATGTATATATATATTTGGTATTGGGGCTCAAACTCAGATCTTTGCACTTATGAGGCAGGCGGCAGCACCACTGAGCTAAATTGCCAGCCCTTGCTGTTTTATTTTTCATTACAAAAAGATTGGCCTGATCAAAAAGTAAAATAATGTAATTTTTTATTAAAAAAAGCTAAGAACTACATAGTCTTCTCCCATGTGACACTGCTATATTAGAAGTACTGTATCTCAATAAGTACTTTGTAGATTGCAATATACTATTGATTAAAATCATTGACCCTTCAGCATTGAAAGACTAGCTGAGAAGGAATCTCATTTGGAAGCATCATAGTGTTACTAGGTTTTTTTTCCTCCTATGAATGATGGGCTTCTAAGCTGGTGCTGTCTTACTTATTGTAGTTCCCTGGAAGTTACAATACATTCCTTGCATACTGGCACCTCAGTACACGTACACTCAGTTGTCTTCAGGGTGTAGTGGCACACATCTGTAATCCCAGCACTTGGGAGGCTGAGGCAGGAGGATCATGAGTTTGAGTCCCCCTGCTCAGCACTCCCATCCCTCCAGTCTACAGCAGGGCAGGTTCTCCCCAGCATCCTGAGGGGCTCACAGCTGTGTCTCTGCCAGCTTCCCAGGCTTGGTGCTGCCAGTGTGGACATGGATCTCATGCTGCTGCTTGGCCCCTAGCTTGCTGCCTGCTCTTGGGCCAGTTTCCATTACCCCTTCTTCCCAGTTCCAGGCGAGCCACATTGGGTTCATATCTTTTTTTTTTTTCAAATGAAAATTAGCTGTTTCACAGTCACTGGGATGTGTGTTGGGGTCACGTAGAATATAAACAAGAAGGGTACAGCCTCAATGGCAAAAATTTTCTCCTGTCAGAGACTGAGAACTCTTGCAGTCATTTATGTTATCCCTTCTCCACAAAGAAGATATCAAACAGTTATAATCAATGATCTCTTTATCTTGATAAGCCACTAATAAGCCCAAATATCTGTCATTGTCAACTGCAGCATTTCCAGCCAGTTCTGTCACTACAAGATGCCCCACCTGTTTGCCAAGGTTGAGGGCAAAGAACACGGAACGAGGCAGTGATAGTCAACATGGTTGATTGGCAAAGGTGCTTAACTGGCTCCCAATATATCCCACCAAATATAGTACGTTGGTTGTGATCTGAGAGCAGACACTGTTTGAGGTAAAGGGTAATCGATTAACCAGTACATTGCCAGTGGATCCTATAATGCAAATCAGTTGGAAGACATATTGAATTTATTCATTTACAAATTGGTTCTCCATTGTGAGTGTGAGAATCCTAGAACAGATCTGTATGTGAATCTGAAGAAGCAAACAATAGGTAATTTTTGAAAAACTGTGAGTATCAAGGCATGCTTGACACCGTCACAAACTCTGCACGTTCATTCTCAAAAATACACTTGAAAAAAGTGACAGTGGTACAGGAAAAAAAGAAAAATACAAATGGCAAAAACAAGGGAAATGGCTCCATATCCAGCAGCGAGACATCACCACCACCACCATCACTAACTACCAAATAAAATCAGTCCTCTAGGAAGCTTAGAGGTGCAGGATGGATAAAGTAAATCAATGAACATGCAAAAGTCCTGGCACTCCGTGATGATTTGGAAAGATCCATAGAAGATAATGTGAATATCCTGTTTGATTTTGTTAAGGAAAAGAGAGAATAGTACATGATTGAGTCATCTGACAAATTGTTGCTGAAGCAGAAAGGCTAGACGTAAGAGCCATGGGCTTTTGTTCTGACTGAAGTTCTTTTCAATGAAATTAGAGAACAAATTAAGAAATACAGGCACCATTTCCTAAGATTCTATCACAACAGCGCCAAAGCTCAGTGGTCCTTCATGATTTGGAGCGTGTGGTAGCAAAGCATCAAGCTCAGCTCCTGTCCACGATCCCACGTATCTTGAAGGACATGCACGATGCAAACCATTTGGAAGAGGAGGTCTTCATGAGCTGGTCAGAAGAGGCATCTAAGAAATACATTTCAAAAGAACTAGCTAGAGATTTGTGTCACAACAGAGCCATTTATAAAATGGGTGAAGGAAGAAGAAGAATCTTCTGGTGGTGTTGAAGAATATGAAGATGAGAACATTGAGGTGAGAAATTAACAGATTGCCAATATAACAAGAGGTGAAACTGAAGTTTCATTAAGGATGATATTAATATCTATGCCATTTAAAAGGATGGATGCAACCTACATAGATTAAAACTGTAATGTTGCCAGTATTTTTTCCATTATCAGCCAGAAGTGCCAGACATACATCAAAAACTAAATTGGCTTAACATCACACTATACTTTATACCTAAAAATAGGTAGTCATAATCTTGTTTTTTAAATCAGTTCTGATTTGTCTAGCTCTTTTTTCACTTTTGCCTCTGAGCTAGTTTTTAAATGTTGTGCTAACTGACTTACCCAGAAAGTAATATAATTAATCATGTAGGGATTCCTGGCATTACCTTTGAACAAGCTTCATGGAGTTGCCTTTTGAGATTTAACTTGTTTCAAATCAGTACTTGAAATTTATAGCATTTACCTTGTGATTTTCAGTTTGGAATTCATATCTCTGACTTCCTTGTCCTTACCATATTAATGGATATAATATGTCTTTCTTAAATTGAAATTACATGGATTCCTTATGGTATCATTTTATTGTTTTTCTGTAAAAAGACTTGTTCTCTGACATACTTGTTTCTAGGGCCTTCTTAAGTTAACCTCGTGTCTGCCACATAGGTTATATTATAAGTATCCATATCCACAAATTTTACATCTATGGATTCAAACAACTATGGATCAAAAATATATGTTTTTAATTTCTTCTGTACTGAACCATGTATAAACTTTCTGGAGGCCATTAGTCCCCAAATAATATAGTATAACAACTATTTATATAGCGTTTACATTGTATCAGCTATTCTAAGAAAGAAATGATTTAAATATATGGAAGGGTGTGCATATATAGGATGCAAATATTCTGCCATTTTATATAAAGGACTTGATTGGCCTAGACCCAGTCCTCAATACTGAGAAACAAATACATAATCACTGCAAAAATGCCCTCCATATTTGCTGAACATCTGGCAATTTGTATGATGTAGTAACAGAGGAAAACCCAGAAGCTTATTTTTAAAACAATATATAGACAAAATTCAGAAGCTTATTTTTTTCAAAACACAATAATGATCCTTTGATCCACTGTTAAATAGACTTGAGCTTTGGAAGTCTCCATCTGTTTAGTGGTAGAAACTGATACACATACTAGTAACTAAAATATGACTCAGTTCATAAGTACTCCTAGTAGGATAAAATCCAGATGTTAAGGAAATTAAGAGAGAGAGAAATTTCTTTCACTTAGGGGTGTGTGTATTGGAAAGGCAGGAATAGTGGGGTTAGGAAAGACCTATTGAATGATAACTAAAATGTTACCAGTTAGAAGAGCTAGAGAGGGGTAGTACAGGCAGCAGGAAAGAAGGAACAGATGCATTAAGGGTAGACGTATTCAAAGGTCTACATGGACTTGGCTAGAATGCAGCCCTTTTCCTGTGGAGACGGTGCCTAGCTGGAAAGATAGGATGGGCTCACATAATGAGAGGCTTAACTGTTGAATCCCAACTCCTGCTCTCTACTGTCCCTTTGGGTGTATATTTGTGTGCTCTAAAAAGTGTCACTTGGTGTTTTAATCCCATCCCTATCACATATAATCATCTTATAGTCATTTGCTGGGTGTCCTAGGGCCACCTGTTTAACCTTTTTAAGTATTAGTGCACCTGTAAACAGGAATAAGTAATAATACGCATAAGAAATGCTTAGCACAATGACTACATGTATTATTATAGTAAATACTAAATAAATGGTTATTATTTCAGCAGCATTTTAAACAGCAACTTCTGAGGTTTCAGTCTGTTGAATTGTATTTCAGCTATACTGTATGTCTGCTTTTCTTATTTGGTGAGAGAATGAAAATAAAATGCTAGGGGAATTAATTCCTCAGTTTGATGAATAAAGGGGGAAATACAGTAAAACATTTAATCTGCCTTTTCTATATGAGCCATACTACTAGATAACTACATAGTAAATGAATGGACCTTTGTCTTCATAGAATTCCATAGCTGATAGAAAAAGAAAGAATGATAGAAATAGAATATTACAAATTTTAGACCCTAATGAACTAATGGACCTATACTTATGTCATCAGTGGTTGCTGGCATCCAGCAATAGAAGTAATCATATATTCTGTGCCACTGGCTGGAAGAACACAACCTATGAAATGGTCTTGCCAAAAAGAATTAAATCTTTATCTGATCAAGCATCTAGATTCAGTTATTAAATTATGGGAAGTAAGTGGACCTAGGAGCATGTTACTAAGGAATGCCACAGAGATGCAGCAAAATGAGTGTACTCTAGGAGACTTAACAGATAAAAATCTGATCTTTTCCCAATGTATAAATTGTAGAACACAGAAATAGTTGAGAATGAGAAAGAATTATCTTGTAGATTAAAATATACTTGAAAGACTCTTATCAGCCTATTACAATAAGTAAACTGTGCAAATTGAACACTGACTAGATATTTGATGATTTTAAGAATTATTCTCAGATATTTAGAAGTGATCAATGTGAGTTTTTAAAATGCATATGAAATGGAGAAAGTGAAAGGTATAGTAGTATGATCGTAAATCTTGATCTTATTTACTTTCAAACGTTTCCCCTACAAAGCATGTGTTCTTTGTTTTTCAGGTTGCTGCATGATCTTTACTTTTCCAAAGATGAGATACACAGCTTTACAGCATAAGGAAGAACTGTTGTTTCCTTTTTCAGTTAATTTATGTATATTTGTGATTGCTTAGAAATTTTTAAGAGAAAATTTTTGTACGTATTACAAGGTTAACTACAATCCAGTCTTCAGTTTTTTAAATGAAATTCTGTCAGTACAGATAACTTGTTGGCTTTATTTTGTACCATAACTACTAATATTTGACTGGGAAAAACAGTCATAAGAAGTAACAAATACATACAAGATTCCTTGTTATGAGTTGCAAATTTCCTTATTGAAATTGTATCACTGTTTTAAAATAAGCAGCTGTGTTTTATGACATGATAAAGTGATCACTTTGATCATATTTCTATGCTATAAATTATTAGCAATACAGATTAAATTTTACATTGTACTTTTAACTCAGGAAATTATCATTTATGTCCTTATTATTAAAACATGGAATGCTGTAACTTATTGAATTATCCACATAATTTTGTGTATATATTTGGCATTGAATCAGAGTAGAATAAAATTATACTTAAGTACTTTTTAATCCTTGTGGTAAAAATGTGGTTGAATGCAACAATATTGGGCCGATGTCTTAAAAAGAGAATTTTAAAAGGTACCAGTAAAAGATACTGGAGACATTTCATACATGCTATTTTGTTGTGTTTTTAATTTTGTGGTACCAGGGTTCAAACTTGGGCCCTTGTGCTTGCAAGGCATGCTGTGGAACCACTGAGCCAAATCCCCAGCTCATACATGCTGTTTTGGACTAGGTCTGTTAGAGAGCTTAAAAGAAACTTTACAGCTATTTTGATTCTTAGTCAAAATCAAAGGCATCAAGAAAGAGAACAAACATGTAGATTTAGTCCACAGCCTAACATAATCATTTGGTACTTTGGAATGAATCAAATTTTAATTCTTTTGAGCCCACCCAAATCACCTGGGAAAGGAGAAATATTCAGCCTTAAATTTAGATTCTTTCCCTGGCTGGCTGCTCTTCCCACAGCTGGCTGTTCATCAGAGAGCCCATCTAGACTCTGATGTGTTGGCTTCCTATCTTCCCTTTCTGCTGTGACAACCTTCAGATCCTTTCACAGACTGGGATTCAGCAAAAGGTGTAGGTAAAGTCATGGTGAGCTCTCCGTGAAGAAACTGTTGAATGCACAAGTGGCTACTGCATAAACTAACTTGGATTTTTCATTTAATGCATTAGCAGTGTTTTCGAAAACTAGAGGATGGTAGGAATCTCCAGTTTCCATGTAATTGCTTTTGTAAATTGCTAAAGCTTCACTAAATAATGATGTACCAAGAGGAGCACAGTATTAACATTCCCCAAATTACAAACACCCATTTTATGAAGTTCCCTGTGTGCAAATGGCTAGAGGAAAACAGTCACTGTTTCCTGTGCTTCCTTCTTCTTTAGCCATTTCTACCCTTAATGTCATTTGCCTGACAACAATTTAGCTGTCCAAGTCTGGCATCACTTTCTGGTGGCTAACAGGCTAGCTTCAAGCCCCTCTACCTTTTTTTTTTTCTTCTCTCCTTTTTTAGTTACCTCAGACCTTTTCTAGTTGCCTCAAACTCGTGTGTGTGTGTGTGTGTGTGTGTGTGTGTGTGTGTATCTTTCTGCATTTAGTGTGCTTTGCTTATTTACTTTTTTGCAGTGCTGAGGATCAAACCCAGGGTTTTATGCATTTCAGGCAAGCACTGTACCACTAAACTATCTAGCCTCTTTTATTGTATTTTAAAGTAAAACAAAACAAAACAGGTCGGGCGTGGTGGCGCACGCCTGTAATCCCAGCACTCGGGAGTCTTAGGCAGGAGGATCACTGTGAGTTGGAGACCAGCCTGTGCTATACATTGAGTTCAAGGTCAGTGTCAACTACATAGTGAGACCCTATCTCAAAAAGCCAAAAAAAAAAAAAAAATCTATAAGCATCTTCTAGGTAATCTTTGCTCACATAAGATTATCAGTTACCAGTTGCATGTTGATAATTCCGAAGTTGTAGTCTCTAATTTGAGAATCTACTGAACTTCTTGATTTACTTTTCAATATCTAGTTACCTCGTACAAGCCATTTTGATATTCCACAAGCCCCTCAACCTCAACATGTCACGAAATTGAACTTTCTCCAAGATCATCTCTTCCCACGTCTATACCTCCTCTGGAATTCTATATTCTTCCTACTCAGCTTCTCTAGAGCTCTCAAGAAACAACATCAGTGTCTCTTGCTGTCTAGTCTGACTCCATTCCACACCAGCTAATCCTGCCTTATCAACTAGATTAATATAGTGGTCTGAAAATTGGTTTTCCTGTTGTGTAATTTACACTATTTATATTTGTTGCTAATAGGTTAGAAAAGTGGAAACTCAATCAGTCCCAATCTGTTGGTATCTTTTAGCTTGGGTTTTATGGTAAAATCATCCTCTCATAGTCTTGATCTCACTGAAATCCATTCCAGTGTGTTCCAGGCGTAGAAGGACTTGGAGAGAAGAAGGGCTTCGATCTTCCTTTAAATATAGTGATATTCTGTGGGGCACAAGGCTGTGTAGATGTTAACTGTTATTCTTGAGCAAAGAATTCTTAGACTCAACAACACATATTTGCAATGAGGAAAGAGATTTATGCTCTCAGAGTTCCATTGCTTGAGAAGTCTGCTTGCCTTCTTTGTAAATGCCTATTAATTTCCTATGCTGCCAGAACAACTCACTACAAATTTAGTGGCTTAACACCCATTAATCTGGGAATTATTGCATGCCTGTCATCCTAGTACTTAAGAGGGTCACAAGTTTGAGTCCTGCAAGGGCAACTTAAGACCCTGTTTCAAAATAAAAAAATAAAAATGGCTGGGGATATAATTCAGTGCAGAGGCCCTGGGTTCAACCCCGGTACCACAAGCAACAATAACAAAAACATTTCACGGGGCAAGGTGTGACTCAACTGGGTCCTTTGCAGAAGGCCTGAGAAAGCTGAAGTCCGCTTTCAGCTGACTGGACTCTAGGCACACTGCTGAAGACTTTTTAAAGCCTTCACATTGTTGGTAGCATCCATCTCCTTGCAGTTATTAGACTGAGTTCCCATTTCCTGAACAGCTATCAGCTGAGGGACGGTCTTTGTTTCTAGAAGCTGCCCACATCTTTCTTATGCTTTCTGTAGGGCTCCCTCTAAACATTGATGGATCAAGTCTTTCTCACACTTGGAATCTCTCTGAATTCTTCTGTCATGTCTCTCTTGCTTCAGCTAGACAGTGTTCACTGCTTTTAAGTGTTCATATGGTTAGATCAGACTCTCAGATATACAAGGTAATCTCTCTTTTTAGATATGTAATCTTAATTACAGCTGCAAAGTCCCTTTTTCCATCTGACATAAAAAGTTTGTGTGCATTATGGCATTGAAATATTTGACTGGCCACTTTGTCTTATCACAGTTTAAAAAGAAAACAAATTTCTCCAAAGTAAGATCAAAACTAGATTTTGTTTAGATCTCACTATAGGCCTTCAGTTTTTACCTTATAAAAGAGCATGAATAATACTCTAGAATACTCAACTTCTTTATGCTGGCAAAGGCTTGGATTATAACATCAGTGGGCTACCTTCTCCGCTCCTTAAGTTAGTTTTGAGCCAGTTTGGGGTGGGATTTGTTGGTAGTCACAGAGTGCCTTTGTGCAGATGAGCCAGATTCTAGGTGGTTTGCGATACTATTTAGAATTGATGCTAATAGGTTAGAAAAGTGAAACCTAACCAGTGCCAGTCTCATAGTATCTCTCAGCTTGGGTTTTATGATGAAGTTCTCTTCTAGATTTATCTCAAAACAATGCCAGAGTGATCATCTAAAATTTAAAAATGTGTTTCCTTTCTTAGTTGAAATTCCCTCTAATGTCTAGCCCTCTCTTATGGAACAGAGGCTCTGTCTTAGGCTCAGTGTTATTCATAAAGCCAAAAGATGGAAGCATCCCAAATATTCATCTTTGCAAAGTGTGATGTAGCCATATAATGGAATATCTGGCCATAAAAGGGAGTAAAGTCCTGATACATGCCACAAAGTGGATGACGAGAAAGAAGCTGCTTATAAAAAATCACATGATTCATTCATATTGAATGTCTAGAAAGGGAGATCTGTAAATATGGAAAGTAATGGTTGTTTATGGGGTGCAGAAGTAGGGAATGATATGGAGTAGCATGACAGCAAAAGGGTATGGTTTTTATTTTTCCCTTTTGATGAAAATGTTGTAAAGTTGATGTGGTTATGGTCGTATATGCTTGTGAATATACTGTAAACTATTGTACACTTAAATGAGTTAACTATATGGTATGTTAACTATAGCTCAATAAAAGCAATATTTTTAGATTTTAAAACTACGAAGAATGCAAGAGTGAATATATACATTTTCATTAAAAGTGAAAAGAAAGTAAATCCTTAAAAATTTAGAAAGATTCAGGAGGAGTGGTAAATATTGAGGATAGGCAAAGAATATTCAATATATAAATAATACTAGTACTTGAAGTTGAAAATAACAAGTACTAAAAACTATGTACTTCAAAAAAAAACTTCCTGAAATTAAAAACAAAATAACTGAACATTGAAAAGAGCACATCTGTGAGTAGTCACTCAGAAACAAAAACCAAGATAAATTTTTAGTAAAAGGACTGAAACTCAAGTAAAAAACAAAAACCTTTAGTTAACTAGTCAAAACCAAAGCAAAAGAATTTAAATGGCAAAGATAATTTGATCAGGCATTTCAGCAGCATTGCTTTATTCTGTAGGAAAGTATTGTCGAACATTTAAAATACTCAAGGGGAAAAAATGTGAGCCAAGGATTTTATATCCAAAAAAATTTTGTTTTTAATATAAAGGCATAAACTTATTGAATGCAAAAATTGAAATACTATTTTTGAAAGCCTTTCCTAAGGAATCTTCAGTAGAAGATTAGATAACCAGGGGACCAGAGAGACACTGGTGAATATTAAACTTGTAGAACTAAGACTAAAGGAGGATTAAATGAGAGGTGTATAGGTAATGTGCGCTGACGGGGAGGCAAAACTATTAAGACAATGGGAGGACATACAAAAAACTTTTAAACTATGTCAGTAATATTGGCAGTGGTTGTATTACTAACTAGTAATGTGAAATAAAGCACATACATAATTAAAAAAATAAAATGTCATCGGATCTTCAACTTCTCTTTCTGATTTAAATACTTGTGTGGTGAAGTGGATTAAAACTACCCTTGTAATCAAACTAGACTTTGAGATGACTTTTTACTAAAAATGTGAAAGAACTGGCTATAAAATATAGTCAAGGGTCCACAATACTACCTCCCTTGTGGTCCAAATCAACCAAAATTTTTTCCAAGGAGAAAACTTGGTAATTTTGTAAGACTGCCCTTTGTTGTTTCTTTCTTATCCATTGGTACTTCCCTTTATGCTTCAAGATTGCTAACTCCCCAAGAACAGTTGTGTCCGAACCAGGGGAGATTTTAAGTGGCCAAGTGCATCCTGCTAAGTGTGGCTCTCATGAGTTAAGATTTACAAAGGGCAACGGAAACAAGGAGTCCTGTTCGCAGTACATATTAAGGTTTTCAATGTTGATACTTTCAGGTTTGGTTTGGTTTGGTTTTCTGTGCATGTGTGTGTGAGAGAACCAGGCTTGAGAGAAAATACTATACTATATCAGGTAATCTGTTCAAAGCTAAAATCCAAGTAGACACCAGGAATTGAATTGGGAGTTAAGCACATGAACTCTTTAGGTCAGTGATGGTAAACCTTACAGATATTTCAGTGACAACAGCTGGCTGGGGCACATGTGTCATAGATTCGCCACCATTGCTCTAGAATTTAATGTGAGAAGGAATTAGAGTAGCAATCAAGCAAAGAATAGAGCAAAGACAGTTCATACCTCATGGCTGTTAAAAAGCACCAGATCTAGGCCAGTTACCCCTCATTCAAAACTAAGTAAACTTTAAAAATCCAACACATTTATCCTGGGATATGGGGCCAGGACAGACATCCTCAACTTCATTCCTTAGGCGGGCTCTCCTAAATGACTTACCATCTCTATAACCACACAATACAAATCATTTCTTGGCTTAACAACCACATTACTCTTTTCTGAACACAGTTATTCTTGCAATAGTTAGAGAATGGGTTAATTCCAGGTATCTGCAGGAAGAGCAGAATGGAATGCTCAGCACTACACAAAATGTGACTAGCACATCATGCTTTCTAATCAAATTATTGAATTCAAACTGTGTGCAATATGTCTCAAGATACAGCCTTAATACCCATACAATATAGAAATGAAGTATCTATAAGAGGTTTTTCTGAGGACACCAGCCTTCAGGTTGTGACTAGGTCACCAGAGTAAATGAGAAGTGTCTTGTTCTTTCTTCCTGATGATTTGACCATCAACAGAGGTATTGTCATTTGGGAAGCTTGGCAGGGAGGAGAAGGGGCTGAAAACAGAGATGCACTTTAAAAATAGTGATACTTTAAAGCTGGGTGTGATGGTGCATGCCTGTAATCCCAGCACTCGGGAGGCTGAGGCAGGAGGATCGCTGTGAGTTCAAGACCAGCCTG